TTTTTTTTTAAACACAATCACAGTACCAATAGTGGTTCAGGAGCAAGGAGGTAGTGGTTCAGTAGCAAGGAGTCCAGAGTGTAGATGCCTGCATGGAACTTGGGTTTGAACTCAACCCAGACAGCTCACAGGTAGTGCTCAGTACTGTGCCTGGCACATGTTTGTTATTATAGGGAAACGTATCTCAGTTAGAATATAAATTTCAACAGCAGAGATTTTTTGTTTGTTTTTGTCTGTTATATATCCCTAGTGCCCAGAATAGTAACTGGCATATAGTAAGTACTTAATATATTTGTTAAATAAATAAAGTGAATGGATTTATCTGGAACATAAGTTTCATTCACTAAAAAAGAAATTAAGTGAAAGAAGCCAGTCTGCAAAGGCTACATACTATATGACATTCTGGAAAAGGCAAAACTATAGAGATGGTGAAAGTATCTGTGATTGCCAGGGGTTCAGAGAAGGGAGCGAGAGTGGGATGAATAAATAGGTGGAGTACAGGGGATTGTTGTCGTTAGCTGCCTTCTAATCAGCTGGCCCCCGACTCATGGCAACCCCATGTACAAAGGAACTAATGCTGCCCCATCCTGTGCCATTCTCATGATCCATTGTGGATCAGACCATTGTGATCTATAGGGTTTTCATTGGCTGATTTTTGGAAGATTACCAGGCCTTTCTTCCTAGTCTTCTTAGTCTGAAAACTCCACTGAAACCCGTTTAGTATAATAGCAATACGCAAGCCTCCGCTGACAGACAGGTGGTAGCTGGTGGCATGAGGTGCATTGGCCAGGAATCCAACTGGAGTCTCTTGCATGGATGGTGAGAATTCTACAACAATGCCCTCAGGGGATTTCAGGACAGTGAAAAATTGTCTATTAAAAAAAAAGCAGCTGATTCTTATTTTCACTGACAATTCGCCTAAAGTCTTATTGAATAGTATATAAATGTGTTTAAAAACAAAACAAGAAAATATATTCCCACTTGCTTATGTACTGTTTTTAGAGTTTAGTCACATTTCCTGCCATTAAGTCAGTGTTACCACTACCATTGAATTGACTCAACAGCAACTGGTTCAACCACGACGACGACTAGCCCATATCCCCTCCCTGGATAATGATTTTGTTTAATAAGTGCTTTAAATACCCTGCGCACAGAATATCGAAATAGCAACCTCTGAATCTTGATACTTTTTAAGTAGTTATCTTCAAAGTAGTATGAAGCAAGCATAATGTGGTTTATTATTCAACCAGAGCGGCATTACATGAATGATCTAAATTGCCAGTGTCAGTGGACACTGTTTAGTCCTTTTCTGTGCCATCTGACACTATTTGGCCTTCTAAGAAGCCTTAACTTCTATGACAAAACACTCTCAGTTATATTAAAATGGAACTAATTAGACACTTGACTAAAAGCAAACACTTTTCAGAACGAACTCGGTCCTTTAAAATCAAAACAAGACTCGTATCTTAGGTTTGTTCACAACTGACGTAATTGATGCGTGTCAGTGGTACAGCTTACAAATTTGTAGCCATAAATTTTTTGCAAGCACAACTTGATTACAGCTGAACAAAACAGAGCTTTTAAAGAAAAATCACTGTAAAAGGAAAATGTAGCCAAACAAAAAACCATTATGCAATGTAACTCTCAACCTGAGATAAGAAAACACGCTATATTCCATGTGGAATGAGTAATATTTCTCTTAAATTCAGATGACATCCCCAGAATATTATTAGCAGATAATGAAGGATTAAAATCCATGCCATCCAGAACATCACTCTCGTCAACTACAAACCGTATCGCTCGTCTCCAAGATCACAATTCTCCATTCTGACTCACTGCTAGAGGCAACAAGGATCGAGACCTCTCGAAACTACGTGATCTAGTCCAAGTCTCCATACTTCTCCACGCTCAGCTCTTTCACCCACTGATAAGGGAATCTTTTCTGCCACTCTTTACAGGTCTCAAAGGTGAACTATACTGTTAACCTGCCCATTTTGATTCTTAAGCACTTCATGATGTATCTTTTCTGTTGTTTTCCTCTGGGGCAATGATCTAGCCATACAATTATTTTGCTTTCCCCATGGTGTGCATTTAACAATGATAACATTTGATGAACTGCATTAGGCAAGCATTCAGGTAATTTTAACATTTTTGCCTTAATTATCTAGATATCAGAAGCACAGATGGCTTTCCTTATTTTATCGTAACAACCGTCATAATTCTCCTCTTGGGTATTACTGATCTAGCCTAATTCATTTTTGAAAATATTATTTGTTGTTTGTTGCAGGAAACATAAGAGGGGATTGTTCCATAGGAAAGTAAACTAATAGCACCTCCCTTGTCAGATTTCTTTACTCTAAGGGGGGAAGGGAGGCAGTAAACCATCAGGGGCATGTGTACTTATAAAGAAATCTGCCTTCTTGGTACCTTGTTCCTATACACTGAAGAGCTAAGATCCAGTTAGTTCGTTTCTGGCAGTAGTTCTTTTGCAACTACTCCACAGACACAATGTCTTGGTTAGTACACTTATGATCAGCTTTGTCTAGTCTATACCTGCAAAAAAAGAAAAATGCTAATTTTATCAACTAGCAGTTTTTATATAAAAGACTAAAACTCAGGAAATCTAACTTTGGGGTGTGAAGCAAAACTGTGTTGCCAAAGAATCTTTCCCAGGCATCCATATAACATTAATAAAAAAAAACCAAACCCATTGCCATTGAGTTGATTCCAACTCATAATGGCCCTACAGGACAGAACTGAACTGCCCTGTAGGGTCTCCAAGGCTGTAATCTTTATTGAAGTAGACTGCCACATCTTTCTCCCATCGAACGGCTGGTGTGTTCAAACTGTTAACCTTTCAGTCAGCAACCGAGCACTTAACCACTGCACCACCAGGGCTGCTATATACACCATAACATCCTCTATACTATTTCCAATAATTGAGGAAGGGATTTATTAAAATGTCATTACAATAATCCAGCTTTTTTGTGGTCCAGTAGTTATCAAGAAGGGCACTCAAAAATGCAGCCTTACACCCTCCCATCAGTGGCTTTTTGCTACTACAAATTAATTAAATGCTTGAAAACAGGCTTTTAACAAGAGTCAATTATACTAAGATTATAAAGTTGCATTTTTGATAAGGCAAATTCATCTTGTAGGAAACTGCCAACGGTGAAAATGTTCAGTTGGTAATTTTCACCAGTGAATAGAGAAATGTGAACGTAAAATTTTAAAATTAGATTAGGAGCAGAAATATGATTAAACGAGCCAGCTGGGGGCAGTATTTTCTGTTGTAATTTACCAACAAGAACACCACGTGAACTTGCCTTTACATCCAACTCAATAATGTTCCTAATGTGTGTGAATGGTTTTTGATAAAATTATTTTAAAAGTACAAGATAAACCATGAATTCTTTGAGACTGAACATTTTTGATCTGTTGACCTATTTAAATAATTTACCAGCAGAATCTGTAAACTATGAGATACAGAAAAACAAGTTGATTCTCTACAAAATGTTAAACATTATAGTGGGAAAGATGGCCTCTGTTGGATGGTTACCTTGGTTGGTTGAATTTACTGTTTTGGAAAATAAAATCATAGTACAATTTGAATTTTATGATTATTTTCTCCATAATTCAAGATTTGACATAGCACAAGATTTTCATCATTAAAAAAAAACGCACTGACTGCAATTTACTTTGCTCTCCTTTGATATCAAGAAAAGCAAACTCAAAGAGCCTTGTTTTCTGCATTTTAAGATTCAACTAAGGTTCTTCACCGTCCTTCCTACAATGAGGCAGATCCACCCAGATGGGATCAGATTAGGTAACCTCTCTCAAAGCTAAGCCCAATCCAATCAAGCTGCATTTATTAGATCACTTCTCTATTATAAAGGCAATGAACTCCTCCTGAAAGGGACCAAAAGGATTCAGTTGGTTTTTAAAATTTCCTCCTTATATGTACCTTTTTCTTAGTATAGAACTGTCTTCCTATTTCTTCAATTGAGCATCAAAAATTAAACCATGAAAAACTGTGATTACACTACAAAGTTAACTATTCTGCACAAGGAGCCCTGGTGGTGCAGTGGTTAAAACACTGGCAGTTCAAATCCACCAGCTGTTCCTTGGAGACCTTCCCGGGACAGTGCTATGAGTCGGAACTGACTCCATGGCAATGGGTTTGGTTTTTTTCTGCACAAATCAAAATCAGATTTTTTTAAAAGTACTAAAATTTACATCTATTTATCTCAGTGAAAAGAAAACTAAAAATACAATTATCTGCTTTTCCAGATTTTAGGGTATTTAGAAAATCAAGCAGTTTCATTAATTACCCAAACTATTTTTCTTTATAAAAACAGTATTTTCCTGTTAGGAATAGTGATCACCCACGAATCAAAATGGGTGTCATTAGATTTAAAACAGAAACTATTCAGAAACCATATGTTTCCTAGATCCTTTCCCCCCATACTAAATGCGAAGGTATAAATAAAAAACGACCATGTAACATGAGAATCAAAGTCCAAAAACCAATACAATACACACCAGCAGTTTATTTGAATCCCAAAGTAATATTAAAACAAAACACAGCCACATACTGTAAAAAAGAAAATAATTTATTTGTTTGCTTCATACATTAAACATATGAATAGTGCATTTCATTATAAAGTAGCAAAGTTTAAACAGAAACTTTTAATTGCTTTAGATTTACATTAAAAGAAAAAGTCTTAAATTTTCTGAAAACAAACGAAAACCAAACCCACGGCCCTCCAGTTGACTTCGACTCATAGTGATGCTATAGAACAGAGTAGAACTATCCCATAGGGTTTCCAAGGCTGAAATCTTTACAGAAGCAAGACTGCCACATCTTTCTCCCGCAGAGCAGGTGATGAGTTCCCACTGCCCACCTTTTGCTTAGCAGCCTAGCAGCCGACAACTTTAACCACTGAACACTAGGGCTCCTAAATTTGCTTCGGGAGCATATATTAAAACAAGAGAGCGACCTAAAATACTAAGAAGGCATAAACTTTCCAATTAATGGGTCTACTATTCTGCTCCCCCACGCCAGTTCTGCAGGACAGCTCATTCCAGCTTTCGAATGAAGTAAACCAGGTGCAAATGAAATTTTTTACCTTATTACTGAAAGAAACCTCAAAATGACTTAAACGTGGAAAAGTTATGTGCGTAAATATCTTACGCAATTTCACTTTTCCTTTGAGAGTAAAAAGCAAATCCAATGGCTTAGTTCTTTCCCAAGCTTTAAAAACATCACCGCCCACTCTCCTCCCCGCAATTCCTTCTCTCCTTCCAGGAAAATGTACAAGTAACGGTTTTCGTCGAGACCGGGCGCCGGGGCTCCGCGGGCTGTCCCCGCGCCCCCGCGCCCCGGAAAACAAAGGGGATTCCCAGCCATTGTCCTCCGCGGCGCTGAGCATCACCAGCACTAGCAAGGCAGTAGCTTGCGCAGTTATCTCCACAGCGGGCAATATCACAACCCGACCAACAGCACAAACTACTACCTCAGCCAGGGCCATGGTGTCGGGAGGCACTGAACCATGCTGACGGGAAGAGCTAAGTGACTCTGGCGGTCTCCGTCCTTCTTCCGCCGCCGATGTCGGCCCGACACCCCTTCCCCTCCGCGCTGCGCCCGGAGACCCCGCCCAGCGCCGCGCCGCTTGGCCGTTCCCAATGCGACCGGAGAGCTCCCGGGATCGGAGGCGGCGCCCGGGGAGGCTCAGCCGGGCGTTCTGTACATAACCAACAGCTCTGGAAAGAGAAACGGTGCGGAGGGTCCTGCCGGAGAAAGCCGCTCCCTCCACTGCCCGGAGGGAAGCTCATCCCTGGGCCACTCGAAAGCAGGAAATGGGCGGCAAAAGCGCTGCCAGACGCCAACTGGATCCGGACGGCCCCTGAGAGGCAGGCGCTCCCGCGCTTCTCCCGCCTCCCGCCAGCAGTTCCCGGCCGGCCCCACCGCGATCCCGCCACGTCTCAGGGCTGCGCCGCCCGCGCCTCTCCCCGCCCGGAGCCCGCGGTGGGGGCTGGGCGGCGACCGGGCCAAGAGCCCTGGCCACCATTGGCAGTACGGTTCCCGCACCCGCCTCGGCGCCGGCTCTCCGCGCGGGCGAAAGCTCAGGGCGCATCCCGCAGGGGCCGCCGCCAGCTCCAGCGCCGCGGTAAAGGACCCAGGCACAGCCTGAAGTCCCCCGGTCACCCTCTCCCCAGCACCTTTCGGTGAAATCCCGATCAGCTCTGCAGGAGCAGAGAAGAAAACAAAACCCCCGTAAAACTGCAACCCGGCTGGGAGGCGGCGGCGTCTGCTCGGGCTCGGCGCGCGCAGACACACAGCCCGTCTTGAGCTCCGCTGCTCCTGTGCGTCCGGACGAGCCATAGAGATCACTTAAGGAGGCTCGCGCGCTACTCCCCACCACGTGACCGCCCCGCCAGGCCGGCCCCCTGCGCCGCCATTTTACATCCGGGACAGGCGGCGTCCCGTTTCCCCGCCTTGGCAAGCTTCGACGTGTCACTAGAAATCAGCCTCAAAAGGGGGACCCCCGACTCCACGTCATCAAGTGCTGAGGCCGCGGGCTATGCCCCCTGATCCGCTCTACCGGGGCAAAGGGGAGCCCCTAACTTCTCTCCGCTTTTGCCCGCAAAGAAGATGGCGGCGCCTGCCGCCGCCTAAGTGGACACGTTGTTCTCTGGCCGGGGTGTAAAGTTTCCGGCACCTCCTTTCCCCCTGCAAGGAGGATATAGCCATAAATGCTCCACCCCACGACGTAGCCACTGTGCTACGTTTCGCAGAAAACAGGCGGGAAAGCTGCTGCACGGCTCACTCCTATACCTAGGCTCCTGAGACTCGGGTTTTTTTATTTTTTTAGGCCAAGTTTGGGAGAAGGCCGACTGCTGTGAAGCTTCTTATGCTCTTGGCCTAGACTCCTTAGCCTTTGTCTCCCATTTGGAGATTTTCGTAGTAGGTGTTTTAAAGAGAAAGTTAACTATTAACAGGTTGCCAGATTTAAAATACAGAATGCCCAGTTATTTGAATTTCAGTTGAACGAATAATATTTAGTAGTATATGTACGTCTCATATACTTAAAAAAAATCTGTTATCTGAAATTCATTGAACTGGGCGCCCTGTATTTTCATTTGCTAACTCTGGCAATCCTTTTAGTCATTACAATCACTAAAATCCCAATGCAAATAACAAAAGTGAGGAATGGAGGGAAATGAAAACCTTGTTGAGCAACAGTTTGGGACTGATTGGGGCAAAGACTTTTGTCATGAATTAAATTATGTCCCCCCCTCCAAAAAACGTGTGTATCAATCATGGCTGGGCCATGATTCCCACTATTATGTGGATTTCCTATGTTGTAAATCCAGCCTCTATGATGTTAATGAGGGAGGATGGGCAGCAGTTGTGTTAGTGAGGCAGGACTCAATCCACAAGATTGAATTGTGTCTTGACGCAATCTCTTGAGATACAAAAGAGAGAAGCAAGCAGAGACGGGGACCTTATACCACCAAGAAAGCAGTACAGCAAGCAGAGCGCATCCTTTGGTCCCCAGGTGCCTGCTGGGAGAAGCTCCTAGTCCAGGGAAAGATTGATGAGAAGGTCAACAGAGAGACAGCCTTCCCCTGGAGCTGACGCTCTGAATTTGGACTTTTAGTCCACTTTACTGCTGTGAGGAAATAAACTCTTTGTTAAAGCCATCCACTGGTGGTACTTCTGTTACAGCAGCACTAGCTGACTAAGGTAACTTTGATCCTTTCATGGAGGCGGGAGGGCTAAGGTCCAGACTCCAAAAACAGTTAACGAGGCATAATAAGTATTAATGGATGATTCCTTTTTTGGACAAATAAGATTTTTTTCTTTAAAGCAGCATAATATAATTCTGAGCAATACAGCCTCCTGGCCAAGAGTCTCATTGCAAATTAAAAATTAAATAACACTGTCTTATCATTTGTATTTTATATGGTATTGATGATGGGACTCAATTTCTTAAAGCACACATTTTCAAATTAAAAAGCAACCTGCCTCACGTTTCAAAATAAATGACATTTATACATAATATGCAAGTTCAGAAAATAAAGTACACTTGTATATACTCACAAACTGACATTCCAATGTTACGCTAATAAAAGTATTTTAAAGCAATGGTTGAAGGTAATTTGCCTGGATTGTCCAATATGAATTATTTCCAATTAACTATGTATGTGTGTATATGTAACACATTTGCAATTAAATGCTTTGACAGAGCATACACTCGACCATCCATCACAAAGACCCATTACCTTAAAGTCTGTAGAAACTTCACCAATAGCTTCATTATGATTCACACCCCTTTCCTGATAAGCAATGACTGAGCTGCCATCGCATTCCCCTCCACTGTTGATCCACAGCTTATTCACAGCGGTCCACATCATCTTGCACCATAGCAAGTGCCATTTCATTATCACAGTGGCATACATCTTAAAATAATCATTAAGCAGTTCTTAGACTGCAGCATACAGATTTGTTACAGCAGCAAAGTTTCCAACTAAATTAAGTCATTAAACTAATTGTATTACTTAGATTCCTTTCCATAAACAACCTGTTTTTGATAGTGCTAACACCAATCCAGACACAAGGTGCTGTTATCATCAACTCTTTGTCCTAAACCCACAATATCCGGAACCTAACCATCCTTTCCTAATGTGACCACGTTCGGCTAATCCTTTTTATCATCGCCTCACATCACAGCAGGAAAACTGCAATACCTTCTCACCCTCTCTCTCCCTATTCTATATTCCCTGTACTCCATCTTGCTTATAACTGCGAGTTTATCTTCCTTAGTTTCATAATGTATTCTTAAAAGTAATCACTCCAAACTCTTGCCGTCTCAAATCTAAACTACTCTGCTTGGCTTTGAAGAAATTTCATGAATGGGCCTCAATTGCTCCTCGCTAACACACCAAGATGTACTCTCCACCAATTTCCTCGTACTTCACAGACGTTCTTTGTTCACATCATTTATCTTTGCCTGAAATATCCTCCAGTATCTTTTTTGCCTATCCAGTATCTACCTAGCCATTAAGACTCATTTTAAGTTCTATTTCTACCACTGAGCCTTTTCGTTTCTTTAATGGTCTTCCTTCCGTATACTAACAGCAATAGCCTGTACCACAGAGGACTAGGCTAAGGTTCCCTGCTTTATGATCCCAGATTAATTCATACTTATCCTTCACAGTTCTTTGCACACTTGATAGACGTCTGTATTCCCTGCAAAACTGTAAACTCCATTAGGGCCGAGACTGTAACTCCAAGTTTAACACATAATAGGACCGAAAATGTTAATAATATGTCAGCACTAATTATATACGGTCTTGTATCCAGTATTATTTTTTGTGTGTGGGCCTCTCAATTAGATAAGTACTCTCAGAACCCCTAATAGCTTCTGTCACACACAGCAAGGACACATTTATGTGCTCACAGCTGATTCTAAATTAACACTCAGTGGTTGTCCAGTAAAAGGCAAAAAATTAGTCCCCAGTGTGGTAAGGGGGCCCTGGTGACGCAGTGGTTAACTCTGGCTGCTAAACAAAAGGTTGGCAGTTTGAATCCACCAGGTGCTCCTTGGAAACTCTACGGGGCAGTTCTGTAGGGTCAATAGGAGTCGGAATTGAATCAATGGCAATGGGTTTTTTAGTGTGGTAAGAAGGTATGGTATCCTTTCTTGAATGATGTGCGCCAAGAGTATTTTATTTATGTAACATCTACCTAGCACATAGCGTGTGCCAGGCACAATGCTTTACAAGGTTCTTCTTTAATCCTAATTGTTTTGTTGGGAAAATGGTCTGTTGCACACTGCCTTTCAACTCTCACCTGGAATGCATGACCAGAGGCTTGGGCCAGGCACATTCTCTGAAAATAGGGGCTGGGAACTGAGCTTCTGCCTCTGACCCAGTTTCTTCTTCCTTATGAAGGAGACTCATTCCCTGTTCTGGGTACACAGTCGGCTTCAGTGTGAGCATCATGTGGCATATGCCCAACTCCATGGCTGTATCTGTTACCAGTGGGGAGGGAACGAGGTCCCCCTTCTGCAGCACAAGAGGTGTGTGTGCAGACCGTCATCCCTGTGTCGGCTGCTTTGGGGAGCGATTCACTGGCCATGGGAGACCAACGCCCCCTACTGGAGCTGACCTTGCTCTGTCTCTTCTCTGTGTCAACAAAGCGTTATTCCATCCAATGCTTGTGTCTTTCTTGATAACCCGGGACCTTGGTTTGACACTAATAAAAAAGTCTATGAGTTAAACATTATTATTAACTCCATTTTACAGATGAGGAAACAAACAGGTTAATTAACTTGCCCAAGGTCACATATCCAGTAAATTACAGCTGGGATTTGAATTTAGGAAGTCTGGCTCCAGATTCTGGGCTCTTAGCCACTAGGATATTGCTTATAACATAACCTCTTATAACAAACAACAAAACTGCCCTGGACCAATAATAAAAACTCAATACAGCTCTGGTCAGCATAATCATTAGAAAAATCATTTTTACACATTATTAGTTCTTTATGTTCAAGTATATTTGTCACAATGTCTATTCATAGAAACAGTAATTGTCTAAAAAGCATTTTTTATTTCAGTAAAGCTTGGGTTTTAATGGAGTAATAATCTTTTTTTGTAAAACATGAAATTAGCATGTTGTAGTGGAAACAACTGCTGTTGAAGCAAGACATGCTGATTCACAGACTTTAGCCATGTGACTCTAGGCAAGGCACTTTAAACTCTGAACTCTGATTTCCTCATCTGTAAAATAAGTATAACATACCTTCCCTGTAGGACTGTGAGGATTAAAAGGAATAATATAGGTAAAGTCCTGGCTGACATATACTACCAAAAAAAAAAAAAAAAATCAAACCTAGTGCTGTCAAGTTGATTCCGACCTACGGCAACCCCATATGTTACAGAGTAGAATTGCTCCCTAAGTTTTCTTGACTGGAATCTTTATGTAAGCAGATCACCAGGCCTTTCTTCTGTGGCACCACTGGGGGTGGGGTTCAAACCACTAACCTTTAGTAGTCGAGTGTAAACCACTTGCATCCCCAGGGATACATGCTAAATGTATGGACAAAAATGGTGATTAAAATTTAAGAATTAGAAAAAAACATTACAACTGACCGCAGTATATACTAAGTATTGTAGGAATTTTTCTGGATCATATATTTATACACAACTCAGGTTCTCAAAAAAGATATTTTAAAACAAACAGTTTTCCTTTGAGAGAATGGTTGGTTTGGCAATGATATAGATAGGCAGTCTCAAAATTAGCCTCACCAAATAATTAACAAATAAGAATGCTCATAAAAGAAATGACGCAAAAGAGTCTAATCCACATGAAGACTG